ACCTCTGAGGGAAGCTGTCCTCAAGTTCCGAGTTCTGCCTGCTGCCAGACCATCCAGTTTCTCCCTGTATGAGCCCTGGGACCCCAGAGATTTCCCGGAACCGGAGTTCAGAGCAGTCAGGAGCTTGTGACTCCCTCCTGATTCAAAAAGACAGCCGTGTCCTCAGGTGCCAGCCCTTTCCCCGCGCGCCAGAGCCTCCGTACCTCTGCACTTTACTTTCGTAGCTCCTCTGAGTCTGTGTGCTCTTCTCTTTCCTTCTAGTTGTAGAATTTCCACTCAGCCAGCCTTCCTGTGGTTCTGGATGATGACCGTTCTGTCTTTTAGTTGTATTTTTGAAGTTGTTGTCATAGACAGCAATTTCCGGTGTTTACCTATGCCGCCATCTTGGTTTCCCACAGCTTTTTCTTGATGTGTTATCTGGGTACACTCCACTTCCCAGGCATAGTCAAGAGCAAGCCCAGGAGCACCTTGCAGGAGTTCCCCAGAGCCATTGTAAGAAGCTTTTGTTTGGGTGGAAATGACTTGATGGAAATCCCTGCTTTTATTTTAAAAGCCCAGGAAGCATTTGAATTTCAAAGCTTTTATATGCCGCCCATGCACCTAACACTGGCCAGCTTATTTGGGTTTTCTGGATTTAGACCCACATTATTGTGATACAAGACTAATTGTAAATCATCCGGTGACTATGAGCCAGGTAGACAGTAGATTCTCCAGACAATACAATTTGAATGGGAATTTGGAATTTTGGGATTGAATCAAAGTATTATCCACCTCTAGTATGATGCCAAGAGGAATGTGAAAGACAAAAATGAGGTACTTCAGTCAGGGTTTAGCATAGACACACACACACACACACACACACACACACACACACACCCCTAGTGTAAGGAGCTAGCCTGACACCTTCACCCATCTATCTCATGTTTCCCAGCCAAGAACACGCACTCACTTTCCCCTACAGAGCATATTTGAAAACTGCTCATATGCACCAGTGGTAGGTTAATGCTTTTACACACTTAGTTTCGCTAAAGAGCAACTATTCCTGTCATAGCAAGTGATCATTGAATCGCTTACAGACCTTTGGCCCTTGATTGGTCGAAAAGAGAAAACATTACCTGAGAGTGAGACTATAAATGTGGGCTTTACTGTCTCTGACTCTATGGTGCATATTAATTCTCAATAGGATACTGCAGTTAAGTTTCAGGAACACAAGTTTTCATTAATTTCCATTTTCTTATAGTGATAGAAGATATTTGCCGTTG